TAATAAACAACTTTACTAAATTAAAGATCATTCTTAATAAGCATTTCCAGCTGTTTTATATTAATTTTGTTGTAGACTTRCTCCAAATCTTTCTCACTATTTTGTCTTGAGCAACCGCAAAAATATATCTAGTAAATATATAATTTAGAGCAGCATCACTTTTGTCTACCAAAACCTCTTGTAGGGGCTCATAATGACAGCTGTTGTATGGATATTTTGTTAGATTCCTGGAGAATCAGAATCAGAGGCTAAAAAAGCAGGGAAGAAGACAATGGAAAGTGTCAAAGCTGTAAGTATAGGAATAATGCACTCCTGCCACGAATACCGGTCAATTCTTCCAAAGTCAATTCGCTACCAGTCAATTCGTTACACATCTTAACGAATGTTGAGTCGATTCGTTACGTGTTCATATTACATATTAATATAATCATAAGTAATTTGTCTAAAGTCATAAATCCACTATTGAATGCTGAATGAACTGAGTTTTTAATAGTTTTTTACCCGCGTCGAAATCATTCAATAAAGTATACCTGTATATCAAATAAAACTATTGTATCACGGTTAGATTATAACACAGTGATAAATGGCCCCAGGATAGAGGGTGGTGTCCAGGGTTGAGGGAGGGAGTGCATGGTACCAAAATGGCTACAAAATGGAGACAACAGAGAGAAAATACAAAATATTACATGGTCTCAGGTTTGATGTTTATTGATCCACAACACCATGCACCCAACAACTTATTTTCACTCCTGAGTTCATTCATAAGGGCTAATCAAATTTAATTCAGATGGAAAAAATGAAGAAATGTCACATATTGGATACATACAATCACAGTAGTTCAATAGATATTTTTAACAGTATACTATAATTAAGCGCTGTTCATCTGATTACATGTGATTCACTCCTGAGCTCATTCATAAGGGCTAATCAAATTGTTCAGGTGGAAAAAAATGAATAAATGTCACATATTGGATACATACATTATGTAAATACTAATCAGATGAACAGCGCTTAATTATAATAGTATACTGTTAAAAATATCTATTGAACTACTGTTAAAAATATTGTCTATAGGTAAACTTAGTAGATAGGGCAGATCTAGTTGTTGGGTGCAAGGGGGTGTGCATCACAACCAGAGACCTGACATCATCTATACATAATGCATCATGTAACCTCCATATTGCAGACATCATGATTATTTTTCCAATGTTCTTGAAACTTATAGGCAGAGCAGCTAATGGAAGCCATTGAATTATTTAGAGAAGAAACAGCCAAGATGGTTGACTATCAAGCTGCCTTGAAGTCTAATCCAAAGGTACATGATCACCTAGAACATATTAAATACTCAATACATGATTATATAATAATTACAATCATGATAATGGTCTCCTTCACAGTTACCTGCACCATCTTGAAAGGTAGCCATGCCTTTGCATCGAAGCGAGACACGGCTACCTTTCACGATGGCGCAGGGAAACCGTGAAGGAGACTATTATCAGATAAAATGTGAGGGTTAATTTGTACGGTTCATGGAAAACCTGGAAAGTCATGAATTTTCGAAATTTTAGATTTCCAGGCTTGTAAAGTCATGGAATTTTGTTGACCGTCATGGAAAGTCATTGAAAGTATTCTCTCACATTTACAGATTACCATGAATTCTCTTCAAATTTAATACAAATGCATTATATTCAATGAAAGTAGCTTTTTTGTGTTGAGCAATCAAATGATGCCAAATTGCAACCATTTGAAGGTCACAAGCATAAAGTGCTAGGTAGTATAATTATATATTAATATTGTGAATGATTCAGAAGTAGATTTTTAATATAAATTTTGGTTATTGAGAAACATTTTTAAAATGTATATAAAAGTCATCRAAAAAGTCACRGAAAGTCATGGAATTTGTYGAGACCTTCAAAAGAGTACCCTGGTACTACATCTAATTTTTAATTGACTGTTTAAATATTATCAATTAATATTTTTTTTAATGAAAAATCTAAAAACATTACTGTCAACTGCAATGAATGCATATTGGCCAAAGCCCTTTTTTGTGTCAATGAATGATATGGATATTTTGTAAATGATATATTGTAGGCTGTCTCGCACCCTGTCAACCCAATCTTGAAGGCATATGGTGATCTTTCGGTAGGTAAAATCTGTTAGTAACAAAAAGATTCTTCAAAATTAACGAAGGTTAGCAAGAGTGTTACTGATTCCCTAATAAATATATTTTAACTTCTTGGCATTTTATATTTGTTGGTCACAAAAATTTTCACTGCTAGGGGAGTATATAGAATTTGATAAATAAAATAGATAATATGAGTTAAGGAATAAAAGACGAAATTCCATGTTTGATACTCTGATCAAAACACGCGGGATGTAGGGAGAGCATGAGAGAAGCGTAGGAAACCACGACGCGTAGCAAAAATTGTAAAGAATTCTGACTTTTGATATGATATGAAACGATGAATTCTCCTTACATTGCAGTTGTCTGCAGCTTCTGAGCTTATAAAACGTTTGATAGCTCTTCTTCTGGGATATCATCCCAGAGGACATCATAAATAGGCGTTTCTTCGTTCATTGTTCTTGAAAATGAATGATAACAACAACAAATGCAAACGGCGGGAAAAAAGAAATTTTTGACGCGTGCGAGCGTGTTTTGATAATGTAATCAAACATGGTTTTCGACCAATCACAGYGCGCGTAGTATCCTAAATATTTTAGAAGTATTATTTAGTACATAATCATTATTACTTAATATTTACATTTTTTTATTTATTATGTCTTTTAGCCATCACAGTATGTTCTTCATGTTTTAAAAAGGATTCGTTCCAGGTGAGATTTTGTGAAAAAGCCAAACATGCTCATGTTTGCAAAAGGTGTTACTCATCAAAGGAAAATCATTAAATAATAATATTTTAATTTGTAATTGTTTGAGATTAATCAATCATCAGTTATTCTCACAACAAAAGGTTCAACCAATCCGCTCCTCACTTTGTCAATCAATGAATCAATCCTTCAATCAATTGTTTCAATCAATAATCACTTCAATCATTCTAGATCAGTCAGTCAGTCAGTCAGCCATCCAAATCAATCATTTTGTTTATTCAGTCAATACATCCATATCATACATCCATTAAATCATAAATCAATACATCAGCTATACTATAAATCAATCATTTTATCCATCAATTATTCAATCATTTATCTGTCACTAGACAGCCATTTAGTCCTTCATTTAGTTTCTCCTCAGTCATCCAATCTTTCATTTTTTTTAAAATATCAATCTATCAGTTATTCCACTGACGTAATACTATCTAATTTTATTTTTTTAAATTGTTTAAATCATCAATCCTTCCATCAATCATGTATTCAATAATCATTCAGTGAATTTTATGAATTAAACATTATTGGTCATTCTTTCAGCAGTCTTTCAAACCATCCATGATCCACTCTACAGTTAGATCAATTACATGGTTTGACTGAATGATTGATTTATTGATGGATTGATGATCGATTGAGGAACTGCTCAGCCTGATCAATAAACAATTAATTGATACTGAATCAATCTTTCAAACAATAGACCTAATCGGCTTCAAGCCAATTCAGACCACCCGGGAGTAAGTTTCATTGTTCGTTGTATTTTCATTTCACAGTTGAATTCCTAGAAACAAAAGTTATTTTTCCCACAGGATTTGAATTCGGTGGCAAGGTACATAGCAACGCCATTAGCCGATTAGGTCTATTCCTTGGATTATTTATTGAATCAATATAATAGACATGTATCCAAATTTCATTATTTAATATTTGTAATCATATTTACACCAGTGAGTTGGAAGAAGCCTTGGTTGTTCTGCCATTTGATTATGTCTGTGATTTCCTGCGACTGGTAGACAATTGGATCAAGGTTAGTTATTAGTGGAATTAGTTCATATTCACACTTAAATATATACACCTAGAAAACTAAATCTCAATATTCCATTTTACTGTAGTTCCAAGTGCAAAAAATCTTTTGTATCAAAGCAATTGAGACAGGAGTTGGTAGAGATAAACAGTGATCCTAATGCCTGGATTAAATGTATCTATTTACTGCACTGCAGCTCTATCAACTCCTGCCGTCTTGCTTTGATGCAAAGGCTTGGTGGCCTGTCAAGATCACTTTATTAAAAGCCAACACGCTCTTCCGCTAATCCTCCCCATTCCTTCTCGCCCCCCCAGCAGGAATGCCTGTTACTGGCTATGTTTTTTCTATAATAAATTATTATTAAAATATTGTATGAATTGATATATTAAATTAACAATTTTTAACTTTGTAGGCTAACTGGGAGATTGAGCTTGTTTGCAGATGTCTCTTTTTCTTAATGAGGTTAGAATATCTATATCAGTGCAACACAAAATGTCTGGACAATTGAAATTCATCCCTTTTTTCAATGCTAAAAAATCCTCATACTGTAGGACTACACACTCCTTGAATTTGATAGATTATTGAAACTTTTTGGTTAAAAATGCAGACTATCATGAAAATCATAGAATAGGAATATCAAATGAGACCTTCAAAAAGTAACTTCTCAGAAAAATGAATGCTTGATGTGCTTAAAATGTATAATATTATGAAAATTTCTCTTACTGGAATTTTGTGCTGAATATATGTACTTGGCATAAACTGGTTTTTATATGAATTCATTTAGCTGTAGTTTTAATCTGACTTTCAGTATATAAGTTGCTAACAATGTTTTCATTTTGTTATTATGATTTAGGATCCACCATAATCAGATAACTTCTACATCACGTCTGCTTTCTGTTGTTGATTCCATTCGCCAAAATACCAAGCAGCATATACATGAACTCAAGGTAAATAAAAACTTTTACCACCTAATCCAAATGTGATAAGACAATTCACAGCTATTTCAAAATACCTGGTAGCTTGTTTTGGAGAATGGCAAAATAAACAGCTGAATGTTACTATTGGATACTCCTGCTGCGTCACAACAGACACAAGGATGATGTCAC